TTCGCGCCGAGGAGCTGGCCCTCGCCACCAAGAGCGTGGTCCTGTGCCCCAAGCACGCAATTGCTATGCAGATTTCTGCTCTGCTTCGCAAGATCGGCATCTCTGCCAAACCGGTACTTCAGGCTGCTTATCTTGGGGTCGATCAAGGTTTTGGGAAGAGGGCTGCCGGAGCTACCAGGAGGCAAAGGGTCGCCAAGGGGAGCGTTCAGAACGCTAAGCTTCGGACCTTTGTTAGGTGTACTAGGCAGTGCAGGTTGACCAAGCAGGTGGAGCTCCGGGGTCCGCAGGCGGGCTCGACGCACGGGGTGCAGATCTACGGCGTCTTTGGGGCTCAGCTCCTGGGGCTTCGGAGGCGTCTTGGAGCGGTCTCGGGGGCGGCCAAAAAGGGGAGGTGCTTCGCCACTTTATTGGAGATCAGGACCCCTGGCGTCGACCCTGGGATTCGTCTCCCCACTTCGTGCATTCGTGAATGACTCAGGATTTGGATTCATAACTCTTCGGTGTGGACTGGAGTTCGCCAAGCTTGGCCGAAAGTGTCGTCTAAGTTTCAATTTCTCCAGCCCAACGAGTATGCTAGACATATTCGCGGGCCCGTCTCAGCTACCATTGCACATCTGCTGCAGGTAGGATGGCCCCCTCGTGCTGCTGACGTGTGGGAGGTTCCTAATGCGGGGGGTGGCACGATTAGTGAGTGGCAGTTCCACGGTGACCAGCTCGATGGTGTGGATCAGACAGTCGATTTGTTAGTTGAGTTTCAAAGCCGCCAGGCGGCTTTGCTTTGGCGCCAGGCCGTCAGTCATTTTTGCGGCAGTGGCCTCGAGGGCGGAGCCAGCAATGACTCCCTGAGGAGGCTAGTTCAGGAAGTACAGGAAGTGAGGAGAGGGAGGCAATTGGCAGAGGTTCTCGTCAACATTGCCGTGTGGGGGGGGGGGGTCCTGGACGCAGTCCAGTCGGGTGGACCAAGGGCTCATCACTGATGATTTGTGTCCTAGGTGCAAGAAGGCGCGCGAGGACCCCCTTCCGCAGGTACTGGCTATGCGAATGCAATGCGGGCCACAGCTGTTGCGCTGACTCAGATAGCTTGTGCAGTCAGGCGTGCGCTCAGAGTGAAATGTTGGCGTGCTTCTGGCTGAGAGGCGTCGCCCCAGCCCAGTGGCTCAGCACGCCTCCTCCGCCCAGCACCGAATGCTGGCAAGTTTTTGGCATCGGCGATTATTTCTTGGTCCTGGGAGCCTCGGTGTCGGGTGCATCGACCGCCCCGCCCTTGCTTTCGGGGATGCGTCGGGGGGTGCCGACGCTAAAAATCTTCTGTTTCGTCGCGTCGGCCTCGCTGTGGCTGCGGTGTCTTGTTTTTTTTTCCGCCCGTTCGAATTGATGCTGCTATATATGGGCCCTTGGCCGGGCCACGCCAAACCGTTCCTAGAGGAGAACTGGCCGCCCTGGAACTCGTCATCCGTTGCGCCCTCTGGCCCGTCGTGTGCGTCGCCGTCAACGAGGAGGTGGTGGAGGGGTGGTGGGCTCGCAAGTTCGAGAATCCGTCTGGGGAAATGGCGAGGTTTTGGCGCCCTATTGGGCAGTTGCTCGCAGAGCAGGGCAGGGAGTTTCATGGCATCGTCGTCTTGTGGGCGTCCTCTCATCTCGGGCCGCAGGGTCTCCTCGCGCGTCGATTCCCGTCGCGCTTCGTGATGGGAAATGCTGTGGTCGACGGGCTCGCAGGTATATGTGCTCCGAGCGTGCGGTTGCCTCAGGGCGTTCGGAGCAGGATTCAAGAGGTGGAAGCGAAAGCCAGCTTGGTGAGGGAGAGACTGAGGGCCAACTTGGACGTCATGTCGATGACCAAAAGGAAGCCTGACCGTCCTTCTCCCATCCATGTTGCCGCTGCTGCTTCTCCCCCTCCTCCTCCCCCTCCTCCGCCTCCGTCCCCCGCTGCCGTCGCCTTGCTTGCCTCCTCCCATTCCGTGGGCAGCGGAGGCAGGAGGTGCGCCGGCTGCTTCTCGCGGGCGAGCAAGGCCTCCAGGGCGGCCTGGCTTTCTTCGCCCTGCTGCCTTCCACAGGCCGTGGGCGGGGGGCTCTTCAAGGCGACCCCGGGATCAGGGGCCGTGCGTGCGGGGTGGTGTGTGTGTGGGGGATCGCACATGTTTTACGTCTTATGTATTATCTCTCGTCCAGTGGTTATCGGTTTGGTCGCGTGTGCTCTCGGTTCGGCTCGAAACAGATTCGGGGCCTTGGAGAGGGGTGCACCGCGGCCAATCTCACACCCAAGAGGCGGGATATTCTTGATCGTGAACCCCGAGGGCTTAGTCCAAGGAGTATTTATCTTTGTGGCGCTTCGCGTCTGTTCCGGTTCCGATTCCGATTCCTCCTCCTTTTCCTCCTCCTCGTGCTTCTCCTAAAGCTGTGTTTGTGAGCAGACGCTGCCTCTTTAGCTCGTTCCTCGTTCCTCCTCCTCCTCCTCCTCCTCCTTCTCCTCCCCTCCTATTCCGAGTGGATGAGGTCGGAGGCTCCCGCGCCACGGGCGATGATGGATGTCGGGGGCGGCAAAGGGGGGGTGATGATTGGGGGGGGGGATATCGTTGGCGGGGGACATACTCATGGTATCTCCCCGGATCTCATGGCGCCTCTTCTTATTCCACGATGTCCCCGCCCCCCACTGGGCCGCGCGCGCCACCGGCCATGATTTGCCCCCCCCCTCTTGGACGCCCCCCTCTTGGACGCCCCTGATAGTTTTAGCCTCGACCATCAGGAAAAAATCGAGCATCAAGAAAGTGCCGAAACTGAAAGGCTTCCACGTCCTGGGCGATACTCGTTCGACGCTGTCTCGACACTGTTTCGACGCTGTTTCGACACTTCTCCGGTTGCTCGAACTTATTTCTGAGATGTGGTCCTTGCGTACGATGGGAACAACAAAAATTTCAGGGGAGGTCCGAGCAGGTGGGGTCGGAGGGTCGCGCCACATCTCCGATATCGGCTAGACCTGCAGTGGGGGCCCATGCCAAGATTCGCCCTTGCTTGCTTCCAGGGTGCCCTTGGTTTCTTGGGTTTTGATGTTCTTGCGATGGAGGGCGCGGCGTCCCCACCAAGGATCAACTTGTGGAAGGTTTCTCGTGGTCGGGCCCCTGACCTTCCGCCAGAGTGACCTTTGATGCCCCGATCGCCGAACGCGATGCGAGAGTAGCGTCTTTTGCGCTTGCTTGTGTTTGGTCCCCCGCGGCCCCCAAGAACCCGCGCACCAAAGGTCACTTTCACCCAGGGTCACTTTTCCGTGTAGCCGATGATACACGCTGGTCGTTGAAAGGTCTTTCTGGGTTCCCATGTCCCAGTCGACTTCAAACGCCTTCCTACTTCAAGAATCGACGCGTTCGAACGGATGTGTAAGATCGAGGTCGGCTCGTGGAGGGTACCCTGAGGCTGTACGTGCTGGTTGGATGCTCTTGTGCATCCTGGGGTGTTGTATGGCTGGCGGAGGGTGTGATGTTCTTGAACTTTGTTCTGTCTTAGGTTTGTCCGAATGTGTGAGGTGTTTATGCTCTTCTTTGGGCGGGCCCGAACCCAATCACCTTTTATCCGCCTTCTCACTTCATGTTTCGACCTGCTTTTTCCGACGGTCGGGCACATTCGGCCACGCATCGGGGAACAAACAATGGCATAAACATACAGTTCGGAGGTCTGCGCGGATTTTTCGGATCGGTACTGGACCCTCCTCCCTGGTGCGCGTAGCGCGCCAGCGGCGGCGCTGGAGTCGCCACAAGGGGGGCCCAGCGTTGATCCGAGGTGTCCGTGCGGATCTCCCAGTTGTTATGCCTATGTCATTGTTTGTCCCCCTACTGCGGCTCGAGGTGGGGTCTGAGTTTCTCCAATGTATCGCTGACGTCGCCGATGCATCGCCGATTCATTTGCGACGCGGCGCGATCCTCCGACCCAACCTGCTCGGACCCCAATCGGGAGGCCTTGATTGCAGGGGCGACGGTGATCGTGCGCTGGGGTCGGGGCCACTTCGAGCTCAAGCGTCCGATGGCCAACGAAACACGTCCCCGTCTGGGGTGGGTGGGGGCGACGGGGTGCGCCCGATCGCTGTGGCCTCTGGGCGAAGGCAGCTGCACCCCCGCCAGGAATACCCACTCAGCCCCGAGTTCGTTCTGGATGGTCAGCCGAGTCTAGATCCGGCGGCGCACCCGTGGGGGAAAGGCAGAGGGGGCGGGCTTCCTTGGAGGGTGCAGAAGGCAACTGGCCTTCGAGAAGCTTTTGAGACCCTCTCCGACGACGTTGAGAGGGCTTCCCAGAGGGCCTGAGGGCTTCCCAGGAGCCCCGCCGCCTTTAAGAAGACTTGCCCTTGGATCCGACATTCCGAAAACATTGTAACATCGTGGGAACCCACGGCTGGAGCCCTAGATTCTATCTTTCTGTTGCATTTTCTGAGGCGAATCCGAAGCTGGGCGAACACGTCCAGACTGGAACAATTGCAACGCCCAGATCCGAGGGTATCCTCTCTCTTCCCCCCCCTCGGCGCGCCGCTGATGGAGCCCTCCCAGGGAGGCGTGACGGCGGCGAGAATCTCCAACTCCTCCGCTTCTCCCTCGCTTGCTAATGGGGCCTTGGAGGTCAGCAAAATGTGAGCTCACTTGATTCTCATTGTTCGGGGCCGCATCTGTCTCCATTCCTGTGTCACCCTCGTTCCTCGGCCCGCACTCTTCGGCCGTGCCAGCGGTCCTCCCAGAATCGCGATTTTGCTCCTTGGCTCTCCCTTCGTCGACCCTGACCCCCAGCAGTCTGACCCCCATTCGCTGGCGAACGAGGCGGCACGAGTCTCCGCCTTTCCCGCCCCGCCTCGCCAGTTTGAGGCGCATCCTTGCCTCCGTGTCTGGCATCACCTTGCCTCGACGCCGATCCTGCGGAGCCCCTCGGCCCCTGAGGGCACATCCCTGAGATAGGCGTCGCCTCTGGCCTGCCGCTCTCGGGGACACGACATGAGGATCAGCTCGAGGCTGCCTGTCGCCGGCCGGCAGGACCCGCAGCGCCCCCGCTGGCCCGCAGCCTCGGCGCCCGGCGAGCCTCGGACCCCCCGCCCGCGTCGGCCGCAGGCGGCGCGGCGGGGCCGCCGCTCCCCCGGCTCGGCGTCGCCGTGCGCCCCGTCTGCCGCGTGCTCCGCGTCCTCGCCCCGGGCCTTCGGTGCTCCTCGTCCGGCTCCCGTCGGCGGCGAGCGAGGGGGGGGGGGGGAAGCGAGCAGGAGAGGGCCTCCTCAGAAGGTTCGGAAGCCCCCCGGCCTTCGGAGCAGTCGTCCGAGCCCTGCCCGAAGGCACAGACAGCCTCTCAGATGGCGCGAGGGCTCCCGAGGAGCCCCGCCGCCTGCTGCGAAGGCCTTCTCCCTCTCAGTTCCCCCCCTCGCTCGTCGCCGATTCGGCGGGAGGGGGAGGGTGCCGACACCGCTGCCCTTCCTCGTGTTCCCCTTTGTGGGCCTCCTGGGAGGCCCTTCGTCGCCAGCGCTGGATTCGCCTCGGCGTTCTGGTCAGAGCGTGCCTCTGGTCTGATTCACCGCTTCGATCCTGGCAGATCTTGCTCTCCTCCTCGTCCTCGCTGTGGCCCTCGCGCTCCTCCCTGTCGTCCCTATCCTCGCCTCCGCTGCCGTTCCCGCGCCCTCCTCCTCCTCCTCCTCCTCCTTCTCCTCCTCCTCCTCCTCCTCCTCCTCCTCCTCTTACTCTTCCTCCTCCTCCTCGTTGTCACTCCCGTCCTTCCCGCCTCCAGCAGAGCTCTTCGTGAGGCAGCCCCGTGTCGCTCGGGATCGGCCTGGGGATGGGTGAGCTCTGTTCCGACGGCTCCATATACTTTGCACGATGTGGAGCTGATCTGATCAGCGAGATCCCAGCTAGAACCCGGCTTCCTCGTCCGCATCTTCGTCTCCATAGAAGGTAGAAACACAAGCCTTGCCCTGCGCCCGTGCGCTGGGGAAGGGACGTGCATTGGGGGGGTCCAGCGCCGACCTCAGACCCGCGCAGGCCTCCAGAAGCTCGTGCCCATGCTGTGTCGTTCGGGCGTTGCGAAATGGGAGACGATACGTGTAAGGTGCACTTCTTGTTCCCCAAAAGGGGCCCCCGTGGGGACCAAAAGGGGCACGCCAGGTGCACGTTTCTCCCCCCTTTCTATCGGCGGCGAGCGAGGGGGCGAAGTGAGGAGGAGGAGGAGGAGGGGGCCTTCTCATAAGGCGGCAGAATTTTTCTATGTCTTCGAGGATGGTTCAGAAACTTCTCAGGAGGCAGGGTTTCACCGCCAACTCGATCTTTGTCCTCGTCGTCGTGCTCCTCGTCCCTGCTCGTCCTCCTCGTGTCCTCGTCATCGTCGTCGTCGTCGTCGTCGTTGACGTCGTCGTCGTCGTCGTCGTCATCGTCGTCGTCCTCGGCGCTCCTCGCTGTTCTCTCCTGCCCAGCCGGGAGACGCAGGTTGCCCATGGCCCGGCCCGAGCGCACATTTGCTTCCATCGTTTCTCCCCTCGGCCCGGCCCCGCCAGCTCGTTGCTGCTTCCGACCGCCTCGACTGGCCTGGCCCGACCGACCACTCGCGTTGATTGTCGATGGTCTTCAGGGCGTGCGTCAGCCCAAGCAGGGCTGGACCTAAACGGTGTTTTTGCTGATATCGTGGGCCGTTTTCGTTTCGACCTCGTTTTGCAGCAAAGGCGGATTGGAGACAACAGCGAGGGAAAACGAACACAAAACGAAAACGAGAAACAAGCCCTGAGCCCAAGCGTGTGCTTACCCCGTCTGGCTCCGCCGGCAGCGCGCAGCCTGTGCCTGCCGTCGGCGCGCCGCCTGCGGCGCACTGCAGGGCCTCGGTGGACAAGCAGAGCACATGCTGCAGGAGAGGACAAAAACTAGCACACAGACACAATGAATCGTCGATCCCCAGGTAAAATATGGGACATGTGGGAAGTGGGGGGGGAAGACAGGAGCCCAGACAATCTGGGTAAATATTCGGAATCCTCTTCTCTGTGTGCATTTATCTGTGTGTCCCTGGGTCCCTTCAACGCTGGCGTTAGCACACGCTCTGAGGGCCATCGAGACTGGCCCCTGGTCGGTGGCCGTCTGCCCTGCCAGCCCGACCCGAGCGCCATGCCTCTTGGCGCGCGCGCCCACCGCGCGGGGCCGCGCGCCTGCGGCCTCCGCCAGGCCCCGCCGCCCGGGGAGCCCGCCGTCGCGCCTCGACCTTCCTCGGCGCGGGGGAGACCGCGGCGGGCCGGCGCAGGTCGTTCATCAGCCTGGCGCGGCCGGAGTGCGCGGAGGCGGCGGCTGCGGGTGCTCCCGTGTCTCCTGGCAGAGGAGAAGGGGCGCCCAGACCGCTGCCCTTCGCGCGCGTTTTCCCCCTGTCGGGCCTCCTGAGAGGCCCTCGTCGCCACACCGCTGGATGCTCCTCGAAGTCCTGGGCCAGAGCGCACCCTGGGAGAGGTACAGTCAAACACCCTAATAAGGACGCGCGACTTTGCTCAGGGTACCCTTGCGTCCTTGCTCTTCCTTGCTCTTGCGTCCTTGGGGTTTTCGTCGTCCGCCGCCCCAAAAATCCCAACTTCGGCTTCCAAGGGTCTTGCGTCCTTACCGCGCGTTCTTTTTAGGGTTTTTGACTGTATGGGGAGTAGCAGCAGCGGTACCTCTTGGTTTCCCCACGCGTGCTTTTCTGTGTTTGGCTCGGCAGCACGTGAGAGTGAGGGACCACTCGCCAGAGTGACCTCAGCACGCAGGCTGCCGCTGTCGCATCGCATGCAAGGACCGACAAGCCGCGCACCAGAAGTCGCTCATTCCCAGGGCCACTGTTTGCATGTATCCGAAGTTCTTCCTTCGGCTTTTCGTCATGCTTTGCTTCTTCGGACCTAGCCGGACGACGACGACGACAATGACGACAATGACAATGACGACGACGCCGCCGACGCCGACGACGACGCTGCCGACGTCGATGGCGACGACGGCGACGACGTCGACGATGACGCCGACGACGACGATGCCGACGGCGCCGACGACGACAATGACGACGACGATGACGACGACGACGACTACGACGACGACGAAGTCGACGAAGACAACGACGACGAGTAGAGTAGAGTAGGCGTAGACTAGAGTGTAATAGGAGTAGAGTAGACGGTATATATGTATATGTATTAGAGTCCAGTAGAGTAGGGTGGGGCACGGTAAAGTAGAGTAGGGTAGGGAGGTGTAGATCAGGTTGAAGTCGGGAAGGATTCGAGCAGAGAAGAGCTGATATAGGTAGAGTAGAACGGAATATAGTTGGGTAGAGCAGGGCTGAATAGAGAATGGCATGAATAGAGTAGAGCAGGATCCACGTAGAGAAGAGTACATCAGACTGGAGTGGTGGAGAGTAGATTCGGGAAGAGTAAAGTAAAGCGGAGCAAGAGCGAATTTGAACAGAGGAGAGTATGTCAGGGTGCGGCAGGGTAGAGTAGAGTAGGGGAGAGTAGAGCAGGGCAAACAGAGTCGAGTAGAGAAGAGCAGCCGGGTAGAGTCGAGCAATAATACAATAGAGCAGAGCTGATTAGAGTAGAGCTGGAGTAGAGTAGAGTAGGAGCACCGTAGAGTATAGTAGAGTATGCTGGGGCACGGTATGGTCGAATTAAGGTAGAGTGGAGTAGGGCAGAGTAGAGTAGAGTAGAGTGGAGTAGAGCAGAGTAGAGCAGAGTGGAGGAGAATAGAGTAGGGTAGAGTAGAGCCAAGAAGGAGTCGAGTCGAGTAGAGTAGAGTAAGAGCAAAATGGAGTAGAGTCAAGTCTCTTAGCATACGGTAGGGTAGACTATACTAGAATAGAACAGAGCATGGCCGAGTAGAATAGAGTATCGTAGAGTAGGGGAGCGTCGAGTAGAGTAGAGAAGGTTCGAGTCGCGTAGAGTACAGTAGGGTCCCAGTTGGATACTGAGAGCCCGTGCCTGGCGCGTGCGATGGTGACAGGTGCGCCGCCGCCGCTGCCGTCGTCGTCGTCGTCGTCGTCGTCGTCGTCGTCGTCGTCGTTGTCGCGGTCGTCGGGGGAGAAGGGGGGTCCGGATCCTTCGGATCATCTTCTGGGGCCGGGGGAGGGGGGCCCAGACGGTCCAGGCCCCTTCGGTCCTTTTCCTGGAGGGGGGGGTCCAGACGCCCCCAATCGGCACGAACGAAATTGGTACGGAAAGAATGGGTACAATGCCCAACAGTAGTTCCTGTTCATCCTGAACAGGACTCGCTGTTGGTGTCGCCGCGGCCTGTGTCCATTTGAGACAGGAGGCCGCCTGCCCAACAGTGGCCGCTGTTGGTTTGGGGCGACATGTGTTGTTGGGCATTGTACCCACTCTTTCCGTGCCCATGTCGGGCGTCCAAAATTCATTTCACTTCCGCGGGGGGTGGGGGGGGCAGAGGTCCAGAGGACCCCCCGGGGGGGGGGGGGGGGGGGGGGGAGGGGCGGGCGGGGGGGGGGGCACCGGGGGTTTGACCCCCCCCCCCCCTGAGTGTTTTGCCCAGTGGGCCCGGGCGGGGGGGCCCTGGTGTCCGACCCCCGTCCATAGAGGGAACTTTCAGGCCAACGGCGGTGGATCGCGCTCTCTCAAGCATCTGGACTTCAGCATTGCTACGATGGGAGGATCGCCTCGCCTAACAGCAACCTGCATCAACCTCAGGAGATGGATGCTGTCAGGAGCTGTTTTCCAATTCGAGCAGCTGTACTGTCGCTGAAGTTCCCAGCTCGCGTGCAGCTCCGCCCCTGGCCGCGCGCTGCAGGGCAGTGCGCATCGTTGACGAGTGGTGCGTAGCGGTGCCCCAGTGCTCGTTCCCGCCATCAGCCCACGCGTCGGCGGCCGACGAAGGCGTCCGACACCACATCTCCATCGGTTTTGGCAGCTGTCCGATGATCCCCTCGCCGCCCGATGGTCTGGGCAGCAGGGCTGGACCTAAACGGTGTGTTGGTGATTTCGTGGGCCGTTTTCGTTTCGACTTCGTTTTGCGGTAGAGGTGGATTGAACACAATACGAGGGAAAACGAAAACAAAACGAAAACGAAAAACTCCGTTTAGGTTCAGCCCTGTTGGGCAGCGTGGCGCACAGGGTCAACAGCAGCTGCGCGGGCCATCATCCCACCTCCTCGGCGCCATGAGATGTCGGCGACTTCCTTCTTGGCTGCGAGCGGAAAGCCCTGCGCAGCGGTCGGGCCTTGGACATCAACGCCTTTGGCCTTAGACCCATTTTTTTTCCGCAGCGGCTCGAGGTCCTCGAAAGCGAGGATCGCCACATGCTCCATCTTCGCCTTCTGGTGCAGTCGCTCCGCGGCATCCAGGATAGCCACGGGGTCGGCGCTGACGTCAGTGCAGATGGGGGTCCGCCGCTTGACCTGGTCTGCCATGATCACTTGCGGGTCTGAAGTTCTGCAGGCTGGCCAGGCGCTAGGATCTCGAGGGCCTCAGCCGGACCAGGATCACTCGCGCGCTGGCGGAGGAACCTCGGCTTGTTTGCCCGCGCACCCGTATCCCATTAGACGTAGGCTTGAGACGCCGAGGATCAGGGGCGCAAGAACGCCAGAGCCACCCGCTGTTCGCTGACTTCCACCATGTGGCCAATGCCGCCAGTTGAGAACTCGCCGTAAAGCAGCAGGATGATGTCGAGACACTTATCGACGTCGGCGGCCGCAGCCTTGCGTCCGAGAACAGTGGCCCCAGGCTGGTCGAAAGCTTGATCCACCATTGTGTTCAACGCCGCGAGGTGCCTCTCATGCTGTGCGCGTCGGATCCGTTGCGCACACGCGAGCGGTTGCGAACTATAATAGAGTCAACAGTCCACCACCATTCCGAGACAGGCGACCTCATGTGGGATCTATTTTGGGGCGCCTTGAGGCGCAACCACAGAAGTCCGAACAAGCCCCCTGCCCGCAGTACTTGACCCACTCGTCCGCAGGTCCCTTCTCGACGGTGATGATCGAGCGTTCCGCCGCGTAGGCCCGCCGAGCATACCGCCGACACAGTTCAGATATACACTCTTTGTCTCGAGGGACTCCCCATACCGCGCAGGCCTTGATCATATCCCGCGGATGGTTCGGGCCCCCCTCTTGCTCGAACATATGCCAAACCTCGTGCTCCACCCGAAATAGGACATTGGCCAGGTATGCTCCCTCCGTGATGTCGAGCTTGGGGCAGGGCTCATCGAAGGTGGCGTGGCGCGCGTTGGGGAGCTGCTGGCGTCGAGCATCGCGGAGCTCATTGATCCGTTGTTGGCCTTTGCCATTGTGTCGGCCTTGCGCTTGGGGCGATCCCGCTGAGGAAGCGCGAACAGCAGAGACACGGTTTGGCGCCTTCGCTCTATGTGGGCGTCCGCGATGCGGACGTCCAGCCCCGCTGTGTCCGCCAAGGCACCTCCAAAAAGGCTTTCGGGCTGATTTGCTCCGCAGCCGCGTAGTCAATCATGGATGCATTGCCGGCGTGCAGGCGTGTTGAACATCGCTGGGGAGCAAGATAGCGCCGTCCCAGTGCGCCAGTGCGCGCGAGTTCCGGTGGTCCCTCAGGGATCGGCGAGGATCGCCAGGAAGACGGGCAAAGCCTTGACCCTCGGGATGCTATCTCCTCCCAGCTTGCCGGGCTGCCAATGAGCTCCCATCTGTCCTCGAGGATGTCCAGCCTGCATTTGGGTGGCTTCTGCGTCGTCGCGTGAGTTTCGGCTGAAGCCGGCGCCTCGAACTGCGCGCCAGCTCCTCTAGTGGACCCCTGGGCCTTGGGGCCCCGCTCCGTCGCGCTCCCTCCGAAGATGATGCGACCGTCGTCAGCTTGCCGCTTGGGTCGCGCAGGCCCCCGGCCCCGTCCGCGGTGGGCCCCCGGCCGTCTGGCGCGAACTGACCTTGCCCAGGTGGCGGCACTTCCCCCCCCTAGAGGGTTTCTCCGAAGGGCTTAGGCGGCCCGTCCTCCTCCTCCTCCTCCTCCTCCTCCTCCTCCTCCTCCTCTTCCTCTCTCCTTCTCCTCCTCCTCTCTCCTCCTCCTCCTCCTCCTCCTCCTCCTCCTTCTCCTCCTCCTCCTCCTCCTCCTCCTCCTCCTCCTCCTCCCACTCCTCGCCCTCCCCCCCTCGGGTCGCCTATGGCCCTTGGAGAAAACCGTCTACCCCCCACCCCAGCCGATCCATGGGAGAAAGCGAGCACAGGCCCGCTCTGCGCCGCGTCAGCCGCAGCTCTAACGCGGGGCAGCCTTCGCAGGGTCGGGCCTGGAAGAGGACCCTGGAGCTGGCGCGGAAGTCCAACTCGGCGACGACGGCGGGCGCGCTCTCGCGGGCGAGTGCGCCATGGGGAAGAACCAGTGGCACTCCGCGGTCGTCAGCGAATTGGCGAATTGAAGATCATCGATGGGGTCAAGAGCGCCATCCAGCTTGGAACGTGGCAACTGCGAGCCAGGGAGGCCGTCCCCTGAATTTTGCCAGGGCCAGACGTGGCGATTGCGAAGCAGGCAGGCCGTCCCCCGGACGTTTCTCGCCTGTGCCTGGCGAACCGCGCGACGACGAGCCTGGGGGGCCACCTCCAGGAGTTAGCGTTCCAAGTGTGGGCCCGACACCGCCGAGGCAGCCGCCTTGGGAACGGGGAGGGGGCTGTTCCTCACCGTCCGTGGTGCGCGCTTGCTGCCGGGTCACACCCCCGCGGGTGGCACGATTTTTGGACGCCCGAAATGGTTACGGAAAAAATGGGTACAATGCCCAACAACACATGTTGTCCCAGACCAACAGCGGCCGCTGTTTGGCAGGCGGCCTCCTGTCTCGAATGGACACAGGCCGCGGCGGCGTGGACAGCGAATCCTGCTGTTGGGCATTGTATCCATTCTTTCCGTACCCATTTCGGGCGTCCAAAGATTTGGCCTGCCCACTCTGCAGCTGGGGCGGCCCCCGCCGGGGTCGCCATGAACGCGGGGACGGGCGTCGCTTCGCAGCTCCGCTCCGGCTGCCGACGCTGGGACCCGTGGGGCAGTTCTGCGTGCGGGATGCCCCCAGCCGTCTGGCCCCGCTGCTGAAGGCGAAATCGAAGACGACCTCGCCATCGAGGTCGCCGCGCACGGCGGCCCAGCTTCGCGGTTGGACTCGCCATCTGTGACGCTGTTGCCCAATAGCCGTCCGAAGAAGCGGCGGAGCTCGGAGAGCTCGTGGTGGTGATGGTCCTCCATGGCCCTGCGCAATGCTGGGACTGCCTGCCAGAGCCACTGAATGAATCTGTGCCGTCGCCAGCCGGGCTGCTGCAAGGCCCGACGCAGACGTCGTTGACGATGCCCTCGACGGAGTGCCACGGGTGAGCGCGCTGGACGTTGGCCCGCACAGGGGCGCTGCGAGGGTCGCCGAGCACTTGCCGTGGCGCCACAACCTGCAGTCAGCACCGAAATGATCCGCGCGAGACAGATCGCTCATCCATAGAGTTGCAGAGCCGCGCAGCTCGTCGACCCATGCCGCTGGGAGGAGAGGCTTGGGAAGTTCGCCTTCTGCGGTTGGCGTCAAGCTCCGCCGACGGAGCCACGCGGGGCTGCTCGCGCAACAGCTTCCAGAGGCCGCGAGCCCGCCGGAGGCGCGGCCGCCCGCTGAAGGGCAGCTCTGCCGCGACGCCGCCCTCGGGCAGCACCTGCCCGTGGTGATCGTGGTCATCGCGAGCTTCACTGAGAGGAGGGATTGGCTTGTCGTGAACGCGCGCCCAATGCTGCCTTCTCCTGACCGTGCAGTCCCTTGGCGGAAAGCCAGGTCCCGGAGAATCTCGAGCTCGGCTTACCCCCCAGCAGGATCTTGCGGAATGTGTTGGCGGGCCTTTGATCATCAAAGGCCTGGTTCATGGACTGCAGGCTTGCCAGTGCCCCCCTAGCCTTGGTTTGGCACGTGCAGCTGCTCGAATACTTCACTCCCAGCAGGAGACCCAGAAGGGACAGGAGTGGCTTCTGCAACGGGCCGGGCGTGCGCGACGCCTGTCGCAGTGTCGGCTGCGGGTTTCCCTCCGGGTACTTCGGCTGCGACCGCTTCGCCAGGGGCGCCTCTGCGCCGCTTGCACTGCAGCCTGGCGTGCAGCTTCTTGGCTCTATCCCTGATCTGGAGGATCTGCGCGGCTGCAGGCCCGAAGGCGTTCTGCACCTCCTGCTGCAGGCTCGCGGCCAGCTCAGACTTTATGCGGTCCCACTCGGCCTAGTCGGCGGCTTCCAATTCGAGGCCGTCCGTGTCGAACAGGGGGCCGTCCACGATCTTGAGCCCTCGTCAACCAGCATCGGCAGGTTGATGGACAAAACAGACGGTGTCGAAGACGCTGCCGTGGAAGCCTCCAGTGGCGGCGACGAGATCTGCTTGGCGCAAGCCTCCTCCCACGCCTGCTGCGCAACGAAGGCCGCCTCGACTACCTCGTCATCCGCCAGCTTCGCGTTTGCGAGCCACTGCTCGCCGGCAAGGACGCGCTCAGCACATCTATCGAGCCACGGTGCGCTTTGCAGTCGGCGACACCCTTGTAAGCCACCTCCTCCAACAATGGAGTGCGCGTCGGTGCCTGGGCGGCCGTGCGGTCCTTCGTGGCCTGGAGCCGGTCGGAGATGCGCTCGAGCTCCTCGCTGTCGCCCAGCTGCTTCTCGAGCTTTCCCAGGGTGTCGAGCTTGCCTTTTGGCCCTCCTGGTCTGGGGCCGCGGCCGCACCGCCCCAAGGATGGCACCCCGAAGAGTACCGAAGCCAAGGCCTGCGCGTGAAGCCCTCCGCGCCCTGCGACGAAGGCACCGGCGCCGCCTTGGGAGATGGGAGTCACACGTCTATCCGCCGCCGCATTGACCACCTTTGCCGCCACCATGCTTGTCCCCACCCATGAACGAAAGCGCCCCAGCAGGAGCTCATGAGAACACCTGCTCACCCGCTGGAGCGGGAGGCAGTTCAATGGGGGCGGACTAGCTCTTGAAGAACTTTTGGAAGCGAGCCGCGGAACAGAAGTATCCACTTGGGTTCACTGTGAACCTCAAAGCCTTTAGCCAACATGGGTTTGGAGGAGGAAGAGGAGAAGGAGGAGCAGAGGGATGAGGATGAGGATGAGGATGGGGATGAGGAGGAGGAGGAGGAGGAGGAGGAGGAGGAGGAGGAGGAGGAGGAGGAGGAGGAGAGGGAGCTCGCCTTGACGCAGCAGCTGACGGGACTGTGAGAAGGCGCTGCGTACAGAGCAAACGAGAAGCGGCGAGGCCATCGGCCCCCAGTCGTTCCAGCTGAAGTCGCGCCTCGGGCAGGGGTCGTTCGGGCAGGCCCCGTGCGTGCATTCTTCTTCGTTGGAGCGTGTTTCTTTACTGCTTGGGGCATAACGGGCATTATAGCTCCCAGGCCCCTCTCCCTCCCCCCCCCCCCTAGAACGTAACGCCCTCCCCCCCAGTGCGCTCCGGGCACTGCCGCCGTGCGCACGGCGGTGGGGGGCGCTACATTACATCCCCCCCTTTTTGGCCCCTCCCCCCCCCCTAGAATGCCCATGATCGCCGAAGGTACAGAAACGCGCTCGTAGGCCTCGCAAGTGGGTTCTGAGCAGATGGGGTCGAAGGATCGCTTCGCATCGGCGACATACCACGATGCGTGTCGATGCTCCACGCCGATGGCGCCGATGCATCGCCGATGTATCGCCGCTGCATCGTCGATGCATTGGCGACGCATTGGCGACGCGGCGCGATCCTCCGACCCCTTCTACTCGGACCCCACTGAGGAGGCCTCTCTTTGTGGGATCTGGCAGAGTGTGGGGCAATGTCGGAGGAGCAGCGGAGGGAATGACAACGTCTGTCTGAGCCTACATGGTCTGACAGCTTTCTGGCCCTTCCGCGGCCGCTCCCTTCGCCTTGCCCTTCCTTTGCTCTCGCCGTAGGTCAGTAGCCGCGCGCGCGTCCCGCCGTCAGCCCGACCGCTTGGCGGACCCGACTCGCCGCAGACTAAACAAACATCTGTCAACGCACGAGGTCGGACGGCAGGGGGAGGGTTCGGAAACATCAAGGATACGAAGTCAGCAGCTTGCAGCGGGTTTCGGCGTCGCCGCCTTTTCCTGTCCTCGATACAGGATGCGCCGGGAAAGCCGGCTGCATGTAGCTGATTCGCGAGCTCCCTTTGGCTACCTCCTCTTTCTCAAGGAAATGGTATATTAGCGACGGGTTCCGTTCCGGTCATACTTATTGCGCGAATTACTTCATACATGCATGCGTCAGGCATGTCAGTTCTACCATGTAGTGGCGCATGCGTCGGTCTTGTCCAGTTGGCGGGCTCGCCATGCTTCACCGACAGCAGGCGATTTACCCACGCAGCTAGCGCTCCGCATGTATCCAGGCTGATTCTTCCGAAGAGCCGGGGAAACCAACCTCTGGGGGTCCCTGCGCAGATGCCCCGCCGCAACGTCTCATGTGAGGTTCTGGCAGGGCCCGCGGGTGGGTCCCTCGCAGACGTCCGGATGGGGATCGTGAATCCCCCGTGTCCGAGCCAGGCCATTTGTGAGCAGTCCCTTCTCGAGTCTCGGAAGCGCGCTTGTCTACTGGCAGGGTGCAGGGACCCCAGCCTCGCAGCCTGGTGGCCCCTGGGTGCCCCCGTTGTTATCGTTGTTATCGTTGTTATCGTTGTTATCGTTGTTATCGTTGTTATCGTTGTTACCGTTGTGATCGTTGTGATCGTTGTGATCGTTGTTATCGTTATCGTTGTTATCGTTCTCGTGTTCCCGTGCGGCCGCGCCATCCTGGAGGGCGTGAGGTCCCCGAGGGTTTGACGACTTTCCGCCCGTCGACTCGCGGGGATCGAGCCACACGAACCAAGGCAAGTGCAGAGAACGTCGACGTACACTCAGGCGAGCATTTTCTTTTTTCCGTTGTACATCTGGGGAAGTCCATGGCTCTCCAGGGAACTGTGGTGCAGATCGTGGCCGCTCCAGCGCGAGTCGAGGGGCGGCAGAAGTCGTGGAGCCCTCAGCGAGAAGGGAGGACCGTCGGGAGGTGGGGGGTCTCCCGCGCTCTGCCCCCTCGTGCTCGTGCCGCTGCTCCTCGCGAGGGAGCGAGGCGGCAGGTGCGAGGACTCGCAGCTGCTGACACCGGGGGGACCGCCGAGCGGGGTGCACTCCGAGGGCTCGAGCGCCCAGAGGGGCCGCACGTCGGCCTGCGGTGGCGATGCCGACAGGGCTCGTCGAGCTGCGGTCTTGACCGCGTGCGCTGCCGCCTGTACGTGCCCGCGTGACTGCGTGCGTGGGATCAGTGGGTCTGGATCGGCGCGTGACAGGGCCGCCTGTTTTTTGACGGCGCCGGCGAGAGCTGGCATCGCTTAGCACTTGCAGCTCAGATGCGTATGTCGCAGCGTTGTGCGGCTCTGGCGTGCGACACTGCGTCCGTGCCAGGGCTACAAGTGGGGCAGCAAGTCAGGTCTGCAAGCGGCCGCGTCTGGGCAACAGCAGCAGCTGAAAGGATGGTCAGGAGGTACGGCCGTTTCACAAGGGAAGGCGGACGGCATACAATTGTATATTTCAAGTTGGCTAAGTATGATGGCAGCAACGGATTCGCTTGCAGCGCAGAAACGGGGAAGAGGGACAGGAAAAAATGCATGACACGGCGCAGGTCTTACTAGTGGCGTGCAGGCGGACGGGCCAGTTGTACGCGATGAAGGTGTTGCAGAAGCGGCAAGTTTTTGCGAAGAACCTTGTCCGGTCCCAAGGGGGAGGTATTCAGAAGCATTTTTGTGGGCACGTACAGGAAGGGTCAGGCATGCGCATTGCCACCAAGAGCAGGAGGATTACTGAGGCCGCCCGCGCACTCCTCGTGACGAAGATTCTCAACGCCTGAGGCCTCCTCCCTGTTTCTTCCTCCCCGCCGTTGTCTCTCTTGTCGTCTGTTGGTGCCCGTAGCCCCAGCGCGGCCCTTCGGCTAACCGAACACGTTGTGCGTTCGCCCTCGCCGCTGACCAAAACAGCGCACCCAGAGGCTCTGTATGGGACCGCAGGCGCTGTATGCCCAGCGCGGTGTCCTGCCCGAGCCGCGTGCGAGCTCGGGTACCGAGGGCGGAGGAGGTGAGAGGGAGTCACCACCCACCAAACCACCCCAACCCAACCCGACGACCTCAATTCGCCCTCCATTTCCAGTGTGGGGGAGGTCGGGGAACATCGAAAAACACATATGGAGCCCATACCACCCCCTAACCCGAAATTCTGGTCTTTGGGTTGGGTTGGGGTGGTCTGGTAGGTAGACAGGGAGGGAGTGCGGAGGAGGAGCGAAGTGGCAGGGTTGAAGGTTGAGGGGGAGGGGGAGGCAGGAGAGCGAATCATCAGACAGCTGCTTGCCGCATCGGGCTCCGTGCGGAGGCGGGTGCGGGTGTGGAGAAACCCTTCTTCATGGTTTTCGAAGTATCAAGAACCGAGTTTGTGCTGCGGCGTATCGCAGATACCGTCTCATGTAACAGTGCCCGAGGCGCCGAAGCGCTGCGATACGATCGGGACCAACGTGGTGTATGTCCTCAGCACGTGCGCGGGCGAGACATCTCTGACTGCCTCAGGTCTGACCGCCAGCCTACGTAGTAGAATGCGGTGCCTTCCCAGGGATCGTGGACAACTCTTCGGCGATCAGCACCCTGCCATTCGGAGCCTGAGGCGCTTCATCCGCCAGGTTTGGAACCTAGGGCTCTTCCTGCTCATTCAGCTCGGCCGTCGGCCAGAGGCCCAGCCCCTGCTTTGAATCGGAAGGCTCAGCCCCCTTCTCGGACGGGCCGACCCGCTGGGTTTCCCAGCAGACCTCGGCTTGGCCCATGTGGCGCGACGCCCCTTCCCCGTCTTACAGTGGGGGCGCGCATCAAGAAACCATCTGCTTTTCGTCAGGGTATCCTGGGTTTCTTCGCTCCTCGCCCTGCGCGGTGACTTCCCGCAGCCGTTGAAGGAGCTGCTGCGTTCAGGGTGCTCCAGGTTTCATCTCTGGTGTACCTTCGCGCACGGGTTCTCAGGGTTGGGTTTCTTGCGAGAGTTTCTTGCGGCCGCGCCCACACTATACTCCCCCTTTTGGCCAACGAGGCCTGGCTGAGCCGCACCCCGCCGAGCAGGTGTGGAACTCTAGCGGGCGGCCCTCGTGCACGCCGGCAGTGGCCCAAGCCCAGGGGAGAGTTGGGGGAGGCCCGGGCCAGGACGAGTCGCCCCCAGAGCGTCGCAGAGCGCTCTGGAATGGCCGCGGTGCCCGCTACCCGCTACACCCTTGCCGCAGGATCTCAGACAATCCCCGATCTGTCCGGGTCCGATTCTGCCCCTCGGCTGCGTCTTACAGCGTGTACGTGTCCGAGTCTTGTGTGACCCCCGCAGATGCTGCGGGCTGCTCGAGCGAGGCGTTCGTGAGCTGAGGCCCCTGCGGCCTCCTCGTTGGCCCCGTGCCCCCGGGAGTCGCGGGCTCTGGCGGCCGTCTACGGGGGGCCGTCGCGGGCGTTGCGGCCGGGGGCGCGCCGACAGACCCACGACGGACCATTCAGGGCTTAGGGTGCGGGCAAGATTTGGATCCATATTCACTGCGTCTTGGAGTTTCGGGCTCTCTTGACCATAGAAATCAGAGGCGCAGTGGATAGGCACAGGAATCTGCCCCCGAGCGGCGAGACTTTTTTCCCATATCCACTGCGCCTCTGCCCTGGGTCGCCTCTTCCCAGAGAGTCCAGGACGCAGTGCATACGGATGCAGATCTTGCCCGCGCATGAGTCTATACCTCCTATGCGGCTCGATGTGGAGCCCGCCTTTCTCCACGCCGATGTCGCCGATGCATCGCCGACGCGTCGCCGATACATCGGCGATGCATCGGCGATGCGGCGCGATCCTTCGACCCCACCCCTGCGCCCCCCCCCCCCTGGAGCTGCTCGCGAGGCGCGGTCGCGAGGCGCGCTCGCGAGGCGTGCCGGGGAGGGCGCCGCTCTTCGAGCGAGGCGTCGCCGAGCTGAGGCCGCGACGAGCGCCCCGGCGGGCGCCTGCGAGCGAAGGGGGAACAGCGGCATGAACACAAACCGTCGGAGTTCCGCGCGGATCTTTTGGCTCTGCGCTGGGGCCTTTTGTCGGCGCCCCCGGCGCCGCTCTGGGGGGGGGGTCCGGCGCGGATCCAAGAAGTCCGCGCGGGTCCCTCTAAGTTCATGCTCATTTTTCTCTTGACGGGCCTCTGGGAGTCGTGGGCTCCATGCTTGGGCCGCTGTCTGCGGGGGGCGGCCGCGGGCGTTGGCGGCCCCGCGCGCGCTGGCACCACCCCACACTCGCAGGCGTTTTTTTTTTTTTTTTTTTTTTTTTTTTTTGTCGGGTGTCGCCACCCCACCTAGTCGTTCATCTCCAAGATACTGCCCGAGAGTTCGATTTGCCCAGCCGAAAGTCCTTGGCTGGGTCGGGGATTCGGGCCGGCAAGAGGACGACACCTCCGCGCTTACTCCGGATGGTATACGAATCGAAGGGGCGACTAACCTTCAGACGGAGCGTCCCCGTCCCCGCCTCCATCGCCCCTCAACGCGCTTCCAAGATTTCCCCCCTCCCCCCTGGCGCAGGAGCTTGAGCTTCAAAACTGCCATCCCCTCCAATCCCCCCCCGACGGCACGCGCCCATTCCCCCCTCGAGCCCAAGGGCGGGCGGGCTGCCATCCGAAGTGTTATGAGCGACCCTGGAGTGCTGCTTCTCAGCTCCTGCCCGCCCAGGGGCTCCGGGCTTTGTCGCGCCCGTCTGCCCGGGGTTCGAGGCTTCGCCGCCAGTTCTGGCGCTGCCCAATGGGGGGGTGGTAGTCGGGGCGGCCAAGTCTAACGGGGGGGATATCATGGCCAGGGACATGATTTAACACGTCCCGTTGTCCCCCCTTGGGCGCGCACATGCCTCGGGCCACGGTTTACGACCCCCCCCTCTTGGACGCCCCCCTTCCTTGACGCCCCCGAGATAGGAGAGGGGGGGGGGTGAAGGGAGGCGCGCCTCTCGGCCACCCTCGGGCCCCCCTCTAGAGGGGCCTCCCGAAGCCCGAAGGGTGCACGAACGGCCCGCGTTGTCTCCTCCCCCCCTCCCCCCGTCGATCCCCCCCGTCTGTTACATGATGTATCTTCGCCTCGTTTTGCACTTGCGTCCGCAGTGCGGCGATTGCAGGCCAGAGGATGTATCAACCTTGTGTGGCTGCGAGAAGATGCTTTGCTGATGTGTAGGAGCGATGTGTAGGAGCATATCTGGAAGCAATCCCCTTACGGTTCAGATGAGAGTCCAGTTGTAGAATTCTGCTGTTCTCGCAGTCGTAGTCGCATTCGCGATGACAGTCGCAGTGGCAACGGCAGTCGCAGTCACAGCCTCAGCCTCAGCCTGCCTCAGCCTCAGCCTGCCTCAGCCTCAGCCTGCCTCAGCCTCAGCCTCAGCCTGCCTCTGCCTCAGCCTCAGCCTGCTTCAGCCTCAGCCTCAGTCTGCCCAGCCTCGCCTCAGCCTCAGCCTCAGCCTGCCTCAGCCTCAGCCTCAGCCTCAGCCTCAGCCTCAGCCCTCCTCAGCCTCAGCCTCAGCCTCAGCCTCAGCCTGCCTCAGCCTCAGCCTCAGCCTGCTTCAGCCTCAGCCTCAGTCTGCCTTCAGCCTCGGCCTCAGCCTCAGCCTGCCTCAGCCTCAGCCTGCCTCAGCCTCAGCCTCAGCCTCAGCCTCAGTCAGCCTCAGCCTCCTCGGCCTCAGCCTCAGCCTGCCTCAGCCTCGGCCTCAGCCTCAGCCTGCCTCAGCCTCAGCCTGCATCAGCCTCAGCCTCAGCCTCAGCCTGCCTCAGCATCAGCCTGCCTCAGCCTCAGCCTCAGCCTGCCTCAGCCTCAGCCTCAGCCTGCTTCAGCCTCAGCCTCAGTCTGCCTTCAGCCTCGGCCTCAGCCTCAGCCTGCCTCAGCCTCAGCCCTCAGCCTCAGCCTCAGCCTGCCTCAGCCTCAGCCTCAGCCTCAGCCTGCCTCAGCCTCAGCCTGCCTCAGCCTCAGCCTCAGCCTCAGCCTGCCTCAGCCTCAGCCTCAGCCTGCTTCAGCCTCAGCCTCAGTCTGCCTTCAGCCTCGGCCTCGGCCTCAGCCTGCCTCAGCCTCAGCCTGCATCAGCCTCAGCCTCAGCCTCAGCCTCAGCCTCAGCCTGCCTCAGCCTCAGCCTCAGCCTGCCTCATCTGCCTCAGCCTCAGCCTGCTTCAGCCTCAGCCTCATCTGCCTTCAGCCTCCTCAGCCTCCTGCCTCAGCCTCAGCCTGCATCAGCCTCAGTCTCAGCCTCAGCCTGCCTCAGCATCAGCCTGCCTCAGCCTCAGCCTCAGCCTGCCTCAGCCTCAGCAGCCTGCTTCAGCCTCAGCCTCAGTCTGCCTGGCCTCAGCCTCAGCCTGCCTCAGCCTCAGCCTCAGCCTCAGCCTCAGCCTCAGCCTGCCTCAGCCTCAGCCTCAGCCTAGCCTCAGCCTCCAGCCTCAGCCTGCCTTCAGCCTCAGTCCTCAGCCTCGCCTCAGCCTCTCAGCCTCAGCCTGCCTCAGCCTCAGCCTGCCTCAGCCTCAGCCTCAGCCTGCCTCAGCCTCAGCCTCAGCCTGCCTCAGCCTCAGCCTCAGTCTGTCTTCAGCCTCGGCCTCAGCCTCAGCCTGCCTCAGCCTCAGCCTGCCTCAGCCTCAGCATCAGCCTGCCTCAGCATTCAAAATGTGGCCCGGGAATGGAATTCTGGGAACTCGAAGACCTCGAAGTGGCCTACATTTGGCTCCGGGCATTCAAAATCATGCCCAGGAATGGGATTCTGGGAACTCGAATACCTCGAAGTGGCCTACAGTTGGCTCCGGGCATTCAAAATCATGCCCAGGAATGGAATTCTGGGAACTCGAAGACCTCGAAGTGGCCTACAGTTGGCTCCGGGCATTCAAAATCATGCCCAGGAATGGAGTTCTGGGAACTCGAGGACCACGGAGTGCGTTACTGTTGGCCAAAAAAGGAGTCCCCGGATTCCCGGGGCACCCGTCCGGCATCTGCCCAGAACCCCCCCTGGGGAGTCCAGATGCTCTCTCTTGACCCCGCTAGAAGCCCATCAGTCTTCGCTGTTAGGTAAACATGTCCCCCCCCCCGGATGCCGGATGCCGCCCCGACCCCCCTGTGGAGTCATCTGCTGCTCTCTTTTGACCCCGCTAGGAACCTATCAGCAAAAGCTGTTAGGGTAAAATGTCCCTCCCCCCCCGTCGAGCAGCGCCAGACCTCCTCCGCATCCTCCCGCGCTGAGGGGCGAGGCCCGACGATGCCTCGGGCCGCAGGCTCCCGGCCGCACGCCCGTGCCACGGGCACGGCGCGGTCTCTCCGCCGGCCAGGGACGAAGCGCCTTGTCTCGGCGTCACCCCAGCACACTGATGCTATATGTGCGTCGCCCCCCCACGGGCGACGCGCGCACTCTTTGTGCGTCCCACTGCGGAGGAGGTGAGCCTCCTCCTCTTCCATCGGAGGCCAACCGAGCATACACCGACAGCGAACTCGTGGGGTCAGAAGACATGCTTGTGCACAGGGCGATCCATGGAGGATTGGCGAGATCACACATGTTTCCATGGCGATATTTTTCACATGGCGATCCAGGAGGTGCTGGTGGATCGGGGAAGCGTAAGACTCGAGTAAGCCGGAACTCGGGTTTGCCGACGTTTTTTGACGAGCGCGTCTTGGATTTTGACGGTCCAGTTTTCGTGGGATGTTTGCAGCGGGAGCTCGCGTCAAATTTCAGATTGGGTCTCGTCATTTCTGCGATGGCCCTGTCGAGCCAGCCCGAGTCCCCCGTACCCGAGTCTTACGTCTTCCCGAGTGGAGGGAGGTGGAATTCCACCCCCCTCCACGACCACCTCCTCGCGCACGCGCGCGGGGGGGAATGGGGCGAGGGGCGAATGAGGAGGGGGGAACGAGGCCGGGGGGTGGGGAGAGGGAGGGAAGGCGGGAGGAAGGGAGGGTAGGAAAGAAGGAAGCAGCGAGGAAGGGGGGGGGGAAGGAGGGAGGGAGGGAAGCGGAGGTAGGGCGGGGCAAGAGATTGCCCGAGAGAAGGAGGAAAGAGCGCGGAGGGACGAGGCAGGCCCAGGCGGGAAGAGGAGGGAAGCCCTTCCTCTCGTCCCCGTTCGCGTCCTTCCCTCTCCCTTCTCGTCCCTCTTCTGCGCCTGCTCCTGCTGCTCGTCCTCCTCTTCCTCATCCACCTCTTTCTCCGATTCCTTTGTCTAGGATGGAGGCGGTATAAAGGTACGTGATGACGGAGCGAAACGTGCTGTCCTACGTTCGACATCCGTTTATCGTGCGGCTGCATTACGCGTTCCAAACGGACACTTGCCTGGCGCCGCCCCCCTTGCGTTTTGTGGCGGTTGGAGGAGGAGGAGGAGGAGGAGGAGGAGGAGGAGGAGGAGGAGGAGGAGGAGGAGGAGGAGGAGGGGGAGAGAAGAAGGAGGAGGAGAAGGAGGAGGAGGAGGGAGTCTGTAAGAAGGCGGAGGACATGCTGGGACAACATCGGGGCTGTTATGTTTCTGGCGCTTTGGAGAAGACTGGGCTCTCTTCCGGCATCTCGGGATCATCTTTGGGTCTCGTGGGGTCAGCTTGGAGGGGGGGCATGAGGATGAAGAGAAGCCATGACGAGATGGTGCAGGAAAAGGAGTTCAGTATGAGGAGAAGGAGGCGGCGGCGGAGGAGGAAGATATCGATCTAGCTATCTTGGCCGGCCTTTCCTGCCACGCGGCTGCCGCTGTTGCAAACTGCTCCTTATGTGTGATGCATTCGACGCCGAAGCCTCTCATGTTCAAGGCCTTGCCGAAGAAAAGGGGAAGGATGGAGGGGGGGATAAGCAGGACGGAGCTTCTGGTCGTGGCTCTCGTACAGTTGCAAAGACCTCCATGGCGACCGCGTGGTGCAATCTACTCTGCCAGCTGCGCCCGGATGTGGCCCCGCGGAACCCATCGGCGCCGGGCCAGAGTGTTCCGAGCCGATATGTCGGCAGAGGACGAGAGGGATGAGGCTAATGGTGTTGCTGTTGTTGATGCTGCTGATGGTGTTGATGATGCTGTTGATGATGATGATGATGATACCGATTCTGATGATAATGATATTGCTGATGATGATGCTGATGATGCTGATGATGATGACGATGCTGTTGGTGATGCTGATGGTGATAATGCTGATGATCATGAAGCTGATGCTGACGTTGCTGGCAATGCTGCCGTTGACGATGACGTGGTGATGATGATGGTGATGATGATGATGATGATTATAATGATGATGCTGATACTGATGGTGATGATGTTGCTCATGATGATGCCGATCCTGTTGGTGATGGTGATTGTGATGATGATGCTGATTGTCATGAAACTGATGCTGATGTTGCTGGCGATGCTGTTGCTGCAGCTGACGATGGCGATGACGACGATGACGACGACGATGGTAGTGATGATGATGATGATGATGATGATGATGATGATGATGAGATGATGATGATGATGATGATGATGATGATGATGATGATGATGATGATGATGATGATGATGATGATGATGATGATGATGATGATGATGATGATGATGATGATATGATGATGATGTTGATCATGATGATGATGACGATGATGATGATGGTGATGGCGATGATTTCGACGACGACGACGATGGTGATGATGCAGATGCTGATTATGATGGTGGGCATGAGGGTATTGATGAACCATTGGCATGATCTGCTGATGACGATGCTGATAGTAATGCTGATGCTTAAAATCATGATGATGACTACGATGATGCTGCAAATGATAATGACGATCATGCAGTTGACGACGATGACGATGATGATGCTGATACTGATGCTGATGGTGATGAGGAGGAGGAGGAAGAGGAGCATGGTGATGAGGATGGTGATGAGGATGAGGATGATGATGGCGGTGATGATGATGATGATGATGATGATGATGATGATGATGATGATGATGATGATGATGATGATATGGATGATGATGATGATGATGATGATGATGATGATGATGATGATGATGATGATGATGATGATGATGATGATGATGATGATGATGATGATGATGATGATGATGATGATGATGATGATGATGGCTGCGGGTAGCTGGCGGCGAGAGCGGATACACGGTGGCGCGCCCTCGACCACGCTCCCGGAGGAGGAGCATAGGGAGACGGAAGGTGATGATGATGATGCTGATGATGATGCTGATTATGATGATGATGATGATGATGATGATGATGATGATGATGATGATGATGATGATGATGGTGATGGTGATGGTGATGGTGATGGTGATGGTGATGGTGATGGTGATGGTGATGGTGATGGTGATGATGCGGATGATGATGATAATGAACACCAGTGTACACTCAAGTGTCACCAACGGTGTTGGAATGAACCCTCCCTCCAAGCTCCCTCTCCATAGGCCCCTACAACGGATTCAGTTCCATTTGGGGAACTGCCTCGTTGGAAGACAACCTCTTGAACCTTGAAGCATACCAACGCATTGTTCTCGGGATTTCCTCGCCACGGATTTGCCTGACTGCTGCGTTTTGACGATTTAGAATCGCGCCAGTACGCCATACCTTGTCTTTCAGCACCGGAAATCGGCATAACTGTTGCACCCGCATGAGCCTGAATCCTTCCAACACGCTATTTCTGGTACGCTGATCATCGGAATTTGTGAAACTGCTTCAAATATTTAAAGCGAGTGTGCGCGGCGCTAATGGAAGAGCCATAGTTTGAAAAGGAGCCGCCCTCACTCCGTGAACTGTTGCGCAAGTTTAAAACGAATGTGCGCGGCGCTAAGGCGCGAACCGCATTTTGAAAAGGAACCGCCGTCAATCCGTGGAACTCTTGCAAATGTTGAAAACGAATGTGCGCGGTGCTAATGCGAGAGCCGCATTTGAAAACGACTTGCCCTCAATCCGTGGAACTCTTGCGGATGTTAGAATGATTGTGCGCGGCGCTCAGGCGAGAGCCACATTTTGACACCAACCGCCTTCAATCCGTGGAGCTCTTGACACGGTTGAAACGAATGTGCGCGGCGCTTAGGCGAGAGCCACATTTCGAATATGACCTGCCCTCAATCCGTGGAACTCTTTGCAAATGTTTGAAGCGAATGTGCGCGGCCCTCAGGCGAGAACCACATTTTGAGACCACCCGCCTTCAATATTGCAAACTGTGTTCAACTTTTAAAAGCGAACGCGAGCGGCGTTGAGGCTAGAGCCACATTTTGAAAACGACCTGCCCCCAACCCGTGGAACTCTTGCAAATTGTGTAAATGAATGTGCGCGGCGCTAAGGCGAGAGCCACATTTTGAGAACCACCCGCCCTCCTTCTGTGAAACGGTTGCCATTTTTTCAGCTTCAGATTCATGAGTGGTGAGGAATCCCATGGAAACCACCGACCCGTTCACAGGGATAAGTTGTTCATCAGGGAAATAAATTGAAGGTGATGATGGGGATCATGAGTGGGACGACCTGAGGATAACGCTGATGATGGCGATGACGATGATGATGCTGATGCTGCTGATGATGAGGTTGCTGATGCTGATGCCGGTGATGTTGACGCTGACGATGGCGATGGCGATGGCGAGGACGATGATGATGATGTTGACGATGATGATGATGATGATGATGATGATGATGATGATGATGATGATGATGATCATGTCGATGTTGCTGATGCTGATGCTGAGCATGATGTTGAGGATGCTGATGCTGCCACTGATGATGATGGAGGAGGATGACGAGGACGATGAGCATGTTGAGGATGCGGAAGATGCTGACGAGGGTGAGGATGAGGATGAGATTGGGGAGGATGCCGATGCTGATGCTGCTGAGGATGAGCAGGAGATGGAGGAGGACAGAAGGGAAGGAGAACGGGGAGTGAGGAGGGCGGGGAGGAGGGGTGGGAGTATTGAGGGGAAAGCGGGGGGGCGCCGCCCCTTCCTCACCCGCTTCGGAGGCGCTTGTGCTCCACTACTGCCCGAACGGCAACCTGTCGCAGCTCATCGCGCGACATGGGGCGCTCGGGGAGCCGCTGGCG